TTCCATATTGTTTTCCATAATGGCTGCCTTAATTTCCATTCCCACCAATAGTATATGACTTCCCTTTTTTCCCACAACCTCACCAGCATTTTTTATTTTTTATCTTTTTGAAAATAGCCTTCCTCACAAGTGTGAAGAAATATATCATATTTGAATTTTGATTTGAATTTCTCTGATGAATAATGATGATGAGAATTTTTTCATATACCTATTGGCCATCTGTACATCTTCTTTGGAGAAATGTCTCTCTTGATATTTTTCCTATTTTTAATCACACTTTTTGTACTGAGTTGTTTGAGTTCCCTATATATGATAGATATTAACCCCTTGTTAGATATATAGTTTGCAAATATTTTATCCTATTTTGTAGGTTATCTCTTTACTCTATTGATTGACTGCTGTGCAGAAGCTTTTAAGTTTGATAAGTCCCATTTGTCTGTTTTTGTTTTTGGGGCCTGTGCTTTTATGGTCTCATTTAAAGAAACCCTTGCTCATACCAATGTCATGAAGCATTTTCCCTGTTTTCTTCTAGCAGCTTCATATTATAGCTTTGGATCTTATATTTCAGTCTTTAATCCATTTTGAGTTGATTTTTGTAAGTAGTGGGAGTTATCAGTCTAGTTTTATTCTTCTATATATGGATATCCAGTTTTCCAAGCAAGATTTATTCAAGAGACTACCTTTCCCTTAAAGTATGTTCCTAGCATGAAATTTTTCACAGAATTAGAAACACAATTCCAAAATTCATATGGAACCACAAAAGACCTTGTATAGTCACTACACCCAGAGAAAAAGGAACAAAGTTAGAGATATCATAGTACCTGACTTTAAAATGAACTATGAAGAAACAATAACCATAATAGGACAGTACTGGCAAAGAGCAGACATACAGAGAGCAGGTAAGATGGCTGACTGAAGCCAGCTCTCAACAGAGGATCCCATCCAGAGAAAAAGATAATGGTCAGAATGAATACAATAAAGCTAAAGGTTAGGAGTTGAGTTGAGAGAGATTGATAACTTTACATCATCCCTGCTGAGGCAAGCTGTGACTCCAAAAAAACAAATTTCAGGTACAAAACCTATTGAAAAGAGGATGAGAGTCCATCCCTACCCCCAGAGAGTGGCTCACTGTGTGCTCTCTACAAGAGAACAGTGAACAAAAGACCTCTTGTTTTACCCCACAGGAGAGAGCCACTGAAGGCTGGGACATCTTCTCCCGAGAGATCCTGCTGTAAGCTTGGGCATTCTCTTCCCATGCATAAAAGTTGAACAAATATTTTCCCTGCCATTCTGAACTCCAAGTCTACCCTTCCCCTCTTGGATGGAAGTCTGGATACCTGGCCCCTACAGAGCCTGGAGTGTCTGGTGGTTCCTTGCAAGGGCTGGGTATCACATGGGCTGCAGTGCAACAGCACTTAAACTGTGACTCAAGTGGAAGTGGGGAGATGCAGCAGAAGGGGGACTGGCCCAGCACCCCAAAAGTATGTGGCAGCAGCAGGGCAGTGGCAGCAGGAGCACGGGCAGCGGCACAGCGGCAGCAGTGGCATAGGGACCCATGCAGAGGCACCTGTGGTGCAGCAGCAGTGGCGCACTCCTGCCAGGGTCAAATTTTGGAGAGACACATCCCTGATTCTGTGGACCACCAGAGGGAGCCAGACTTTAACCTGCAGGGGTACCAGAGGATGAGTGGGGTTGAGGTAGAGGCACGGGCTCTGAGGGTGACAAATACGTCCCACAACATACCACTGGCTCAGGACAGACTTGAGTGGAACAATCCCCAGTGTTCATTGAGCACCAGAGGGAGCTGGGCTTAAGGTCTTCCTGCCTGCTAGTGGCAGAGTGCGTCAGCCTGGCCAAGGAGGCACTGACTGCCCTTTGATTCTGTCAGGCACATATCCCTGGTGCATTTGCTCATTGGAGAGAACTGGGCCACAGCCCCATGGGGTTACTAGTAATGGGGCATGGCTGTGGTGTAAAGTGGGGAAGGAGGTGCCAAATTTCCTGGACAAACTCTTTTTATGGGCAGGCCTTCCTGACTCCATTGAACACTGCAGGGAGTCACACTTGAGCTGCCAATGGACCCCTGCTGTCTGGTTGTTGGAGTCCTTTTGAACTCTCCCAGTTCAGTAGGGATTGTGCTGCCTGGGACAATTGGTTTGGAACTCATGACCTGGGCTGGCCACGTGGAGACCCTCCAAGGTTGGGCCCTGATTCTATTGTAGTAGGGGGGACTGATTCTCTTCTTCCAGTTGTCACTGGTGGGGGAGGGCGGGGTGTCTTAGTTGTTTATATCTCTCCCTAGCTGAGATTTCAGCCCAAATCCACAAAATCACTAGGATTGGATAGAGGCTTGCTGAATACAAGACAGAGCCACCTAGCCCCATCACACCAATCAGGTCCTCAGAGTCTATGGCAGCAGGACTGAAAGGGATCCTTGTAAAGATAGGGGAAAATCCACAGTCACTAGTCCTAGCTCTTTGGTAAAGAGGTGGTTAACTACAAACTCCTGGAGCCTTCAATCCAATCTCACCCTACCAGCTTCACTAGTCAAACTGTGAAAAATAAGCATGGAGTGGAACCAGTGGAAAAAATGGCAACATGAATAATCAGAGTATATCAACTCTCCCAAGGTATGACAAAGGAGATACAATAGAAGATGCCATTCATGAGGATCGGTAGGGGAAGCACGCCTATGGAGCCTATTGCAAGTACAAGTTGGATCTATCAGGTGTAGAGCATAAATGTCTTAATCTGTAATAGGGTAAAAGTGGTGAAGGCTATGTTCTTTAATAGGATATAAACATTCCAATTTGTACAAATAATCATCTCATTGAATCATATAATGGCATAAATGTATTTATGATCTATGTATGAAAGACTTAATTTAAAAAAAAAAAAAGATGATGATCAATGTGTTGTGAGTCCAAGGCAGAAAGGTTCAAATGGATAAAATATTCAAAATAGGAAAACAGCTAAGAAAAAAAGAAGAAGATGCCATTCATAACCTAATGACTGAAATGTCAGAAATAGAATTCAGAATATAAAATGGAGGAAAAAATGGAAATTTAAGTCCAAAGAGTTATGTAAAAGTTGTCCAAGAAATCAATGAAATGTAAGGCAATATCTCCAAGGTTATGAACACAATGAGAATAGAGATAGCAGATCTCAAGGAAGTGAAAAAGCTATTCGAGGAGCTCTGAAATACAGTCAAATCCCTCAGTGATAGAGTTGAACAGGCAGAAGAAAGGATCTCCAAAATTGAAGACTAAGCTTTTGAACATTCTCAAACACTGAAAGAGGCACACAAATAGAGAGAAAAACTGATTATTCTCTGAGAGAGTGGAGAAACAACTCCAAAAGATCAAACATTTATCTTATAGGAATTCCTGAAGAGAAGAGGATGGTCCTATAGGTACAGATCCTCCACTCCAACATATCATGGAGGAGAACTTCCCAAACATGGCACGAGATACAGAAATGCAGATAGTAGACAGTTTCAGAACCCCAGCATGACTCAATCTAAATAAAGCATCTCCTGTACACATTGTAATTAACTTTGCCAAAGTTAATATGAAGGAGAAAATTCTGCAAGCAGCCAGATGTAAGAAAAGTATAACCTAAAAGGGAAAGAATATTAGAATGACTGCAGATCTCTCAGCCAAAACTTTTTTTTTGCATTTCTAATTGTTTATTGATTAACAATTAGATTAACAAATAATCTAATTGATTATTTGTACAAATTGTTTATTTAGATGTTTAAGCTCTTGCACTAAGTTTTTACAAGCTGGTGAACATTGACAAATTATTTCTCCCACAGAACTATAACCACACACTCCCAGATAGTATAAATATATGTTGAACTAACATTAATACACAACACCATTTTATCAATTACATAATAAAACAAACTACCAAGTATCCAAATATTAAGTTACACAGCTCAAAAGGCATATATAAATTATTTATTAGATGTCTGCTAAATTCATTAGCAGAAACTCACTTTTTTTTTGTAAGAGATTGGTAAGAAAAGGAAAAAAAAATCACACTTTGAACAAAAATAAGTTGGTAAACAACTTCTGATAAGTATGGGGGAAAACCTACAAGAATTTTAGAAATTTTATAATTAAGAATTGTTTTAGCTACAATTAAAAAAGCATCTCTACCTTTTAAAAATATTTACCAAATTAAAGAGCATATATCTACATGTCCTGCACAAGACAAAGGCAATATTTTGCTAAAAATATTTAATAGCCCCCTCCCATTCTTTTTTCAGGCCCTCCCTGTTAAGTTGCACAGAGTGCAAACATTAAATTAACTTTAAGGCTTTTTTTGTCTGAAGACAGTAAAGATATGTGCTTCTATACAATGTAGATTTTCAAAATGGAGGTTTTTTTATAACAGCAAAAAATGAGATTTATAGAAAGACATTAAATAATCACTCTAAGACTTGGTAAAAATCCAAAAGAAAAAAAAAATCAATGGTTGAGCAAACCTGATCAAACCTGATATATACTAGTATAAATGTGGGAGATGTAAACATAAAGTGGGCAGACAAATAACCCACGGGCCTTCTTTCAATGTCTGAAATGACTGGATAAATCACCTAAGATCTAGAGTGTTCATAGTTCCTGGGATTTTAGTTTTGTACTATACTAAAAATATACAAGTATTGTGCTGGGTCTTTTGGCACCTAATCTTTCTAAATTTCTTATATAGTGATAAGATTCTGGCATGGGAATAGATTTAAACAAGACATAACTCAATAATATGGCATGATTTCAGGAAAGGTCAATTGGTACAAATGATAAGCACATTTAAATGCTGAACAGTAAGAATCTTTTGCTTAGTGTCCAAAAAGGTTGACTATAAACCAAATATAGAAGTTGCAATTCTGTTAAGCTTGTGGCCTGGTAAAACTGCTTTACAATACTCCTATGGAAGCTTCATTAATCAAGGCAACATCTTGGCTAATACACATACATATGACAAATTAGGTCCTGTCTCAAGTTTTACTTCCAAGGCAATAGCATCAGGCACACCAGTTTTATTGAATGCAACAGTTGTTTCTATGACCATTGGAGTCTTTGAAGTGCAGCCGCACCTTAGGACGATACTTCTCCAAATACAGAAGTTGCTTGCTGTTAAAAGCTCCCTGCTGCTTTTGTCTTATGAATTGTACTACATCTTCATATTTCATTCCACCTTCAATTAATGGGAGAGCAACAAGCACTGGAGCTCTCCCAAGGCCTGCAACACAATGAACGGCAATACAACAACCAGGTTCTTCATGAAACTTGATTTTTACAAGATTTAATGAGTCATCAACAATCTGGTTAGATGGTGGTGCACCATCATCAAAAGGCCAGTCAAGAACATGGATGCCTTCTTTCTCCACAAGAGTAATGTCATAAGTTGCTTCACATACTCTTACTATTGTCGTAACTCCATACTTCTTAACTTCCTCTATAAATTTGTTTAAGGTCGCATTGGTTGGATTGTGTGTAATAAGAAATCTCATGTTCTTGTATGTGATTTCTACAGGAGCTGGGTGGTTCATTCAAGCCATGTTAATTTAGTTAAAAAGCACTCAAAAGGGTCATGAAAGAATTTTAAAAAATGAATACAGAAATGATGCAAAGAAACTGAAGTCTACTTCAATATACTCCACTTGAAATTCTCAGTGCTTTGAAGATGAAATTGGAAGTAATAATAAATGGAAATGAACCTCCTAACAAGAAGCTGCAATTCTTTAATCCAGTAATACAGAGGCAACAGAAAGGAAGTGCACTGAGGTTTACCCCATCCAGGTCAGAACTCTTGTAAAATGCTCTGCATATCTCAAGTCAACACTTCTGTGTCCAGGTTAAACTCTTACAGGGGCTTCTTGGTGTAGTAGTAATGAATTTCTACAGTTCACTTGTCTGCATAGAGGTCATGCTGTGCCTGGCAGTAATCTCCACTGACCTTCAGAAACTCCATAAATGTGTGACCAAGAACACAACAGAACTGAGGAATATGTTTACTCATTGAAGTTTGTGGCCTAATCTTACAGCCATCCCAAGGCGACAGCAACACAGGCGGTGGCAGTGGCGGTGTCTACCGGGCAGGAGATGGCTGTGATGTGGGTGGCAGCCGGGGCACCAGACTCTCAGCTGAAACTTTTTAAGCCAGAAGAGGATAGTCATTGACCTTCAATCTCCTAAAACAAAACAACTTTCAGCCCAGGATCCTGTATCTTCCTAAACTGAGTTTCATTTGTGATGGAGAAATCAAATACTTTACCGACTTTCACATGTTGAAGAAATTTGCCATAACTAATCCAGCTCTCCAGAATATTCTTAGACCCATCCTCCTTAATGATCAGTTCAATGGTCTACCACCAAAGTAAACTCACCCAGACAGCCTTGAACAAAACTGAAAATTCACAATGGTGAAAAGATTAAAAATATCCACTGGACTTTTGAAAAACATGACAACCAAAACACTACCATGCTTATCAATTCTGTCAATTAATGTGAATAGCTTAAATTGTCCTCTAAAGTGGAATAGGTTGGATGACTGGATACAAAAACTCAGGCCAGATAGCTGATGAATACAGGAGTCTCATCTTACCTTAGAGGATTAAAAAAAAAAAAACTCAGAGGGAAGAGAAGGACATCTATAATACAGGTGAATGGAAATCAGAAAAAAGCAATGATTAGAATTTTATTGCAGATAAAATTGGTTTCAAACCAACTAAAATAAGGAAAGATAACATTGGACACTACGTATTTGTTGGAAACATTCAACATGAAAAGATTTCGATAATTAAAATTTATGTGGTCTACCAGAATGCTCTTCAATTTATAAAACAAACCCTAACAGATATGAACAATTTGATATCTTCCTGCACTATAATAGCTAGAGATTTTAATACTCCTTTGGCAGTTTTGGATAGATACTCCAAGAAGAAACTAAACAAATAAATAACAGATTGACTCAATCTTATCAAAAAATGAATGTGATAGACATCTACAGAACATCACATCCTAATAAAACTGAAGACACATTCTTCTTATCAGCACACGGATCATCCTCCAAAATTGCTCACATCTTAGGTCAGAAGTCTAACCTCAGCAAATTTAAAAGAATAGAAATTATTTCTTGTCTTTTCTAGGACCATCACAGAATAAAGTCTTGAACTCAACAGCAATAGTAATCTTCATACTCAAACAAAGTCATGAAAATGAAATAACCTTATGCTGAATGACACTTCCTGAAAGATGACATTAAGAAGGAAATCACCAAATTTTTGGAACAAAATCATAATGAAGACATGAATCACCAAAACCTATGGGATACTGCAAAGGCAGTTATAAGAGGGAAATTTATAGCATTGGAAGCCTTCATCAAGAAAACACAAAAAGAGAAAATCAACAATTTAATAGGTCATCTAAAGCAAGTGGGAAAGGAAGAACATCCCAACTTCAAACCCAGAAGAAGAAAAGAAATAACCAGTATCAGATCAGAATTAAATGAATTTGTGAATATAATAATCATTCAGAAGATCAATGAATCAAAAAATTGGTTTAATGAAAAGATTAACAAAATTGAAAAACTTTTGGCTAACCCTACCAGAAACAGAAAAGTAAATTCCTAATATCATCAATCAGAAATGAGAAATGAGAAATAATAAAAGACACCTCAGAAATTAAAAAAAAAAAATCCTTAATGATTACTACAAAAAAGAGACTTAAATAGAAGCTTCTCTGAAGAAGGCAGGTGGATGGCCTACAAACACATGAAAAAAATGCTCATTATCTTTAATCATCAGAGAAATGCAAATCAAAATAACTCTGAGATATCATCTAACTCCAGTAAGACTAACCCACATAACAAAATCCCAAAACTACAGATGTTGGTGTGGAGAGAAGGGAAATTTTCTGCACTGCTGGTGGGAATGCAAGTTAATACATTCCTTTTTGGAAAGAAGTTTAGAGTACACTTAGGGAACTAAAAGTTGGGCTGCAAGTCGATCCTGCAATTCCTCTACTATGTATATATCCAGATGACCAAAAATCATTTTAAAACAAATATATTTGCACCAGAATGTTTATTGCAGCCCAATTCATAATTGCCAAATCATGGAAGAAGCCCAAGTGTCCATTGACCCATGAATGGATTAACAAATTGTGGTATATGTATATCATGGAATGCTATGCAGCCATAAAAAAGGTGGAGACTTTACAATTTTTATGTTTACCTGGGTGGAGCTGGAACATATTCCTCTTAGTAAAATATCTCAAGAATGGAAGAAAAAGTATTCAATGTACTCAGTACTATTATGAAACCAATATATAATCACCCATACTTTCATTTGCATGATAAAACACAACTATAGTCCAGAATGAAGGAGGTAGGAATAGGGAGAGGGGAGGGAAGGGGGGAGGCTGAGAGGAGAGAGGGTAATTGGTGGAACCTCCCCTATTGTGCACAATGCAAGGGTACATGTCAAAAATATTAAGAGTAGAGAATAAATGTCTTAACACAACAAATAAGTGAGGTGAAGGCTTACATTAACCATTTTGATGTAAACATTCCAAGTTGTATAAAATCAGCACATTGTACCCCATAAATGCATTAATATACACAGTTATCATTTAATTAAAAAAATAATAAACTGGAAGACACTCAAAGAAAAAATAAATAAATAAAATAAATTGAAAGCAAAAAAAAAAAAAGACACACAGGCCAGTGGAAAAGAATTAAGAAGCCTGAAATAAATCTACACATTCTCAGCAAATTTATTCCTTGTAAGCATTATGAAACTGAGATCTGGAGAGACAGCAAGATAGTCATTGGAATATCAGGTCTATAATTCAGAGTCTTTTCAGAAAATATCTCAGCAAGTAGAAGGAAAAAAAAATGGAAAGTTGAAATGGAAAATAATGGGCAAATAGTCCAGGAATTTCAAGATGGAATAATAGAAGGTATGAAAATATAGTGCAGATAAAATGGAGGGGAGAAAATCATTAATGTACACAACTATGATTTAATAAAAAAATCAAGGAAAATAAAAAAAGTAATTCAACAAAATTGATTAGAACTCTAAGTGCTCATCAACTGATGAATGGATAAAAGAATTTTGATGTGTGCATACATATATAAGTGTGTGTGGTAGGTATGTGTACAGTAGAACCTCATTGACTATCTCCCGATATTGACCACCTCCATAAGTTGAACTAATTTTCATAGACCAGACATGCGCCACATATATATATCAATACAGTAGGCCTATTTGCTTATGGTGACCACCTCTATATGTTGACCAGTTTGTTACAGTCTCTTGGATAGTCAGCTTACAAAGGTTCTACTGTACATATGTGTGTGTGTGTGTGTGTGTGCAAGCTGTGGAGTACTACTCAGTCCTAAAAAGGAATGAATTTATACCTTTTGTTGCAACTTACATAGGACTAGAGACCATTATTCTAAATGAGGTATGTCAGAAATGGGACAACAAATAGCACATATCCCATTTGTAAGTGGGAGATAAATGATGAAAATGTATAATCATAAAGTGATGCAATGGACATTGGAAAGTAAGAAGTGGGGAGGGTGGCAGATGAAGGATAAGAAATTACCTGTCAGGCACAATGTGCATCATTCTGGTGATAAGGACGCTAAAAACCATGATTCAGCATTATACAATTAATTCATGTAATGAAAAACACTTGTATCCCTAAGTCTATTGAAATAAAAACAGATAGATATAGATAGCTAGATGATAGATAGATAGATAGATAGATAATCAGTACTAAAGGAAATAACTTTCTGTATTGGAAGAAGGCATCATGTGCTCAGATCAATAGGTGAAAATATACCTGGGTATGGATTCCAGAGAGAGGGAAAAAACACAGATGACATTGAAGCATCATGAGTCAACATGGTTTCAGATATTTCATTAGCAATGCCTAAAGCTAGAAGAAGTAGATTAATATTTAAAAAATGCAGCCATAAAAAGAGGGAGATTTTCTTCTTTTATGTTTACCTAGATGGAGCTGGAACATATTCTTAGTAGTAAAGTATCTCAGGAATGGGGGGGGAAGTGTCCAATGTACTCAATATTATTATGAAACCAATATATAATCACCTACATATTCATATGAATGAGAAAACACAAAGATAGTTAAGAAGGAAGAAGGGAAGAGGAGGGAGAGGGGAGGGGAGGGTGGAGGGCAAGTGGAGGGAGGGTATTTGGTGGGATCTCACCTATTGTTCACAATGCAGGGGTACATTTTAAAACAACTAAGAGTATATTATAAATATATTACCACAAAAATAAGTAAGTGAGGTGATGGTTATGTTAAGTAGTTTGATTTAAGCATTCCACATTGTATATAAAATTATCACATTGTACCCCATAAATGTATAGTTATGATTTAATAAAAATTAAGTTAATGAAATAATGACTATAATAATGTAATTAAGAATTTCAGTTCAAATTAAAGCAAGAAAAAATTATAAAATAAACATGTAATCATTAATAAATTATATTTGTCTTTATTTTAATACTCACCT